TTACCTGTCGACAAAGGACGATATCAGCGGCTTGTTGGAAGACTTATTTACTTATCCCACACCAGACTAGACATATGTTTTTCAGTAAATACAGTAAGTCAATTCATGAACTGTCCTACTGAGGAACACATGAGAACTGTCAACCGTATCTTAAGATACTTAAAGATGACACCTGAGAAAGGATTATTATTCAAAAGGAATGATAGTCAAAAGGTAGAAGTCTTTACTGATGCTGACTGGGCAGGAGATATATCTACCCGACGATCAACCTCTGGGTATTGCTCTTATATATGCGACAATCTAGTGACATGGAGAAGCAAGAAGCAATCGGTGGTATCTCGGAGTAGTGCAGAAGCAGAATACAGAGCACTGACGCTTGATATCTATGAAGGAATGTGGATAAAAAAATTTCTCAAGGAGCTTGAAATTATGGGAGAAAATTCTATCAAGATGTTCTGTGACAATCAAGCAGCAATCAGTATCGCAAAGAATTCTGATCATCATGACCGAATGAAATACATTGAGATTAATTAGAACTTCATTTCAGAGAAGGTGGAAAATGGAATCATTGAATTGGTCTATACTCCTAGAGACCACATTGAGATTGATTAGAACTTCATTTTAGAGAAGGTGGACAATGGAATCATTGAATTGGTCTATACTCCTAGAGACCAAACCGCAGACATTCTCACCAAGGCTCTTCCCGAGTCAAGTTTTGATGAGCTAACCAACAAGTTGGGCATGTACAATCTGTACAACCCATCTTGAGAGGGAGTATGGAATTGCACTCCTTATTATTTACTTTAATTCTATTTAGTACTTGTTATATTTAGTCATAGTATAAAAATGGTAATTCCTTAATTATAGGTATTTATGTTTATTCCGTAATTATAGGAATTACTTAATTGTAGGAAGATTTCTTTCCTCTTTCTATTTCTTGTACTCACCTATTTATATGTGAATTATCTATGTATTCATTGAGAAAAATGATTATTCAAAATTCACAGGATTCATTATCCAAAATTGTACAACAAGAGCAAACTCCTCCGCTTATCATGTTGGTGGACAAACCAATACAATTTCAGTTGCCCACTCCTTATAAGGTTTGTACACATAAGACGAAAAAATGAAAGTGTCATGCAAGTGCTTAGCCTAAGGCCATTTTTATCTTTTGTATGTTAGAGAATAATTTAGTTTTTTATATGTCTGAAGACAATTTAGTCTTTCATTATTATTATTGTGGGTTATAAATAGATTTATTTTGTTTAGGGTTAGGTTTATGCATGAGGTTGAGTCTTGTATCTTAGGTTTATGGTTTGGGAGAGATTTCCTACCTCTTGT